TTACTTATGCGGCTTGCTTGTTTGCTTCTCTCCCACCTTTCGGTCCTACTAATAGCACACAAGGTGACTCACAACACTGTTGAAATTAAACCCTTTTAGAATTAGAACATTTTGTTTTTTCCCCTTGGGTTGTTAGAGTTATCGTGTTTATCTTCCTCTTTTGGCATGACCTCCTGAGTTTCCAGTATTTCACAACCTCTGTGAGAAAGGCAGAGTTGCGAAAGTGGCTAGGTAAAGGCCTAATGTGTCCTGCTTAGCTACCATTTTGCCTGTGGGACCCTTGACACTCATTCATAGCGGCCAGGTACAAAAATTAAGCCAGTGGAACTTTTCCTGGCATGAAAAGTACTGGAAAGACCACTTTGTTTGGGGTGTTAATGAAATCAAAAATGAATCAGTACAGTGGGTCTTTAATGGATTCTTGGCTATGTTTGATTCTCTGCTCCAGAACAGGTTTTATTATTTATTTACATACCGTATAGCCTGCCTTTCTGCCTTCACAAGGGACATCAAGGTGGCTAACAATTTAAAACATGCATATAGAATTACATTTTAAAACCACTAAATCAACCCCCCCCAACACACACACAGCATAAGTGGCTTTTGCACTGGAGGGCTCTTTAGTCTGTAGCAATTCCCTCCAGTCTATCTGCTGGTAGAAGATGGCAACCAAAGGGAACAGGTGAATCTCCTCGGGGGGGGGGAGTGTTCCAGAGCTTTGGTGCTACAACTGAGAAGGCCCTCTCCCAGTTTGCCATCCACCTAACCTCAGAAGGTGGGGGCACCCAAAGTGGGGCCTCCAGAGATGACTGAGGTCATTGGGCAGGTTCATAAGGGAGTAGGCGGTCCTTCAGGTATGTTGGTCCCAAACCATATAGGGATTTGAATGTCAAGACCAGCACCTTGGATTATGCCCGGAAACAAATTGGGAGTCAGTGTTTTGTTTGTTTTGTTTTGCTGGTTGGTCATTTTATAATTTATTGCTATTGGTCTGGGTTGTTTTATGACCTCACTGTGAATTAGCTACTTTAATAACTGATTGATTGTTGTATGGTTTTATTTTGACTTGACATTATTGTAAGCCATCTCAGGCAGTTGTGTCTGGAGAGGTGGTGAAGAAATACACTGAATAAATAGGCTAAAACTCTTCTGAGGTGCTAACTGTCCATACTTGGAGTCCAATGGACTCCACATTTGCTGTACTGCTTCAGACCAACTGGATATATGTCCATACTTGGGAAATTTCCTGTCTTTTTTCAAATGGCAGAACGTTCAAACATATGGCAGGCAATGTTCCCTCTAAGCTGTGGAGTCTTGTGAGCAAAAATTCTACTTTGTGAGCTACTGGCATTAAAGTTGTGAGCAACAGGGGTCGTTTCCTAGAAAAAGAGCTAGGGGAACTCATTAGCATCACTCATTAGCATATGCCACACGCCCTGACATCAGGGGCCCGGCGGTGGACCCGCAAGGCCGGAGGGTGTGTGAGGAAGCCCCGCCAAGGCCCTCCCTGGCCCCAGGCAGGCAGGGGTGGGGAGAGGCGGGGAGGAAGCAACTTACCCTCCCTCTTCTCCTGCCTCCTCCTGGCTGAATGAGGTCTGGAAGCGGGGCGGCCGGAAGCAGGGGGCAGGGCTTCATCGTGTGCCCCACCCCCTGCACCTCACCCGGGGGAACTGCGATCCCCTGCGATCCCCCCCGAAATGACCTCTGGTGAGCAAGTGATTTGGCTACTGCATAAATTAGTTTGCTCTGGAGCCATCCTTACTGAGCCAAGACAGAAATCTGTGAACTGGAGGCTAAAAAACTGTGAGCTGGCTCAGACTAACTCAGCTTAGAGGGAACACCAATGGCAGGGGCAAATGGAGATTATACCACACCAGTCTGCTCTGCTGGCATCGGCGTATTTCACCAAATGCGTCTTCTTCCAGCGACTCTCTCTAGAGAGAAAAATGCCCGTCCCCTTAATAGAGGCTTAATGGGATGTTATTTCGTCCCATGCTTGGACACTCTTATCTGCTGGACCTCTGCTTCCCTCATGCTCCACCACAACAGCTTCGCTCATCTGAGCAGTGCCTTCTGCAGATGCCACCCTGACAACAGGCAAGATCGACAACTGCCTGTATATGTGAATTCTCTGCAGAGGCCTCCGCCTTGTGGAATGGCTTGCCTGGTGAGGTCAGGAAGGGCTCCCCTTCTCTTGGGAATTTTGCAAATGGTGCAAAGCTGAATTATTCACAAGGGCATTTTTACAAAGGCATTAGGGCTTTCTAGTAACATAGTGATGTTTTAAGGAGACACTGTGGACTATGCTATTGCGTTTAGCACATACTATCTGTTGCTGTATGAATTATCCTGTTACATAACTTCTTCATCATTTAATACAGCATGTTAATGCCTATGCTTTGTTTCAGTTTTGTTCCAGATTTTTGCCTGGTTTTAATTTTTGCAATCCATTGCTTACTGGATGTCCCATCCTGTTGACTGCTTTGATTCATGCTGTGTAAAATGCACCTTGAGTCTCCACAAGAAAGGTGGACTGTAAATAACATAAATGACTTAAATAAGTTAAGCTGGTGAGGGGAGAAATTTGATGGTTCAGAGTTTAATATTATCCCGCCAGGGTTTTTTTTTTAAAAAAACAACCTAATTAGGAGAAGGATACCTGCAGTGAGGCCCGAGGCCTCTATTCCAGACTTCAGTTTGTTTCTAAGTGCCTAGTGGTATTGCTTGCTCATCATTGTTTTCTGTTCTACTGATTTGCTAGAGGAACTCTACACAGAGATATGTGGAACTGTGTTTAGAGGACATCTCAGGACTTGAAGTAATTCTAAGAAAAGAGTGGCCCCAGTGTAAACACTTAGCGCGGATTATAGCCATTGAAAGGGTCCAGTTACTGTTCTTTCTCTAAATTTTTGGCCTTGAATAAGAATTTTTATGCACCCCAGAAAAGTTTTGCCTCCTTTTCGGACTCAAAGGGAACAGTGATGCTGACAATCTTCCAAATGGATTATTTTCTCTCCCCCCCCCGAACAATGCAGGATTTGCCAGGATTAGCTTTTGGAGTGTAAATTATTCTTGAGAACTTTCCAGCTCTCTCTCTTTCTCTCTTTGTGTAAGAGATAAAAGATCCTTTTAATTGGAAGATGGCAGAGCTGGTTATCTGATAACTTCCTTAGAAGGGTGTCAGAGCATTATATAAACCTCTCATGGTTGAACTAAAGAGCAAAGAATTGAAGACCACATCTGACCATCAACATGCTTCATGCAAAATCTGAGGCAAATATGAGCCTGGTTTTTTGGAGGCCCCCTTTGAATGGCTCTCTCTTTAGCCTTTGGACCACCTGCCTTGTTGGCCAGTCCTATTTCCTTGGCAAGAATGTTACAAAAGTTCAGACTGTTCTCCAGAGAAAGGTGCATTCAGTATTCTCTGCACGCCGCCATCTCTTTGTACCAGTTCTTTCCCATCCAAAGCAATAGCGACAAAGGAGACTCAAAAAACCCCTCATAATGAAAGGGGAATGTTCTCTGAGGTGATTCAAGGACCTTGTCAAGCCTTCTGAAGGTTTCCTGCAGCTTTGTTTCAGGTTGTTTTGAGGTAGAAGCCAGAAACAGTGCTAGGTTCCTCTCTGTAGTGTGGGAAGCCACATTATCATGTACACTGCTGCAAATCCTGGCAGCTATGGGGGCAAAGTAATTAATTCTCCAGCTTTTCACATCAGGAGGAACCAACAAGCCCTGGTGTGGAATGAAACACTTATGATGGACTCTTGGGAGCTTGTTTTCTGTTTCATGAGAGCGCACTTAATTGAGGGTAATTGAGGGTAAACTGACAAAGGGAATGGTATTAGAATGGAAAAATCTAACACTGTAGTGTCTTATGGTAAACAGGATAGATGTTTTGTATGTTCCTGAATGTGGCACATTGTCATCTGTATTGTGGTGCATAGGCAGAACTTAAAAGTCCCCTCTACACATAGGGACAAACTAGCTACTACTAGGGAGCCTGCCTACAAGACAGCTTGTCCCACAGCCTTGAAAACTGGCTGGCATGTGCCTTGAGGGGGTTTGGGGCTAGGTCTGAGCCTGTGTTGAAGCTCTTTTTATTGTATTTTTATCTCTGCCTTCCTCCAAGGAGCACCAGGCAGTATAATTAGATTCTTCCTTTCTCCATTTTATCCTTTCAACAGACCTGTGAGGTGGGTTAGGCTGAGAAAGGAAGTGACTTCCCTAAGATCTCCCAGTGAGGGGTTTTTTTTGGGGGGGGGGCTTTGAATCTGGGTCTTTCCATTACAATACTCTGATTCCTTCACCATACACCCAGGTCCCTGTATTCTAATGTGTACCAATGTTGGAGGGCTGATTTAATACAAGCTCAGTAAAATATGTGCAAAGAGCACTGGCTAAGATAGCAAATCCAAATGTTCATTCCTTCCTTCCAATAGACCACCGTGTATCAATAAGTTCCTATGCTCAACCCTCACTGAAATAAATGGAAGCTGTGCAGGTGTGTGTAATAACTTTGCCAACAAGAGCTAAAATGGTGACATGAGTAATGGGCAATACCAGAAACACAACTTCTGACTCATTGCAATGCCCACTAGCCATGGATCCAGCCAGGGTTCTTGATACCTCTCAAGCCCCTTCTCCATAGCTGCCATATTTTTCCAATCTCAAGCAGGCAACAAAGCAGGAAATGTACCAAGCACATGGTAGAATGCCAAACATGGCTGGTTGTCTGAATTCATGTTCTAGAAGCTGATGTCATGTGCAGCTCCTTTGTCAAGAACATGTCAAGACTTGGGTTTTTAACTTGCCCTTTATACTTTGCCCTGTAAATGCTATAGCTAAGTATATTTCTTTACAAACCCTAATGGACTTCTCCCCCCCCCTTTTCAGGATGTGGGCAGGTTCTTCAGGCATCAAAGGGGCAGATTTTGTTGGAGAGCTATCCCCTGAATGCTCACTGTGAATGGACTATACATTCCAAGCCTGGCTATGTTGTTGAGTTAAGGTTGGTGGAAAAGGCATTTTAATTTATTTTCTTGCATGTCAATGGCATAGTAAATAAGTTTCATCCTGGGTGCAAAGGACTTTCTTGTTATCCCTAGCATTAATCTGCATACATACTAGATCTAAAACTTATTCTCTTTCTGTAGCATATTAAAACATTCAAAAATGATGTCTTGGAAAGAGAAGGAAATGTATGTGTGTAGCTGTGTCAAAGGAACTGGATTCAATCCACTGCCACTCCCCTTTCCTCACTATTTTGCGGCATTTTCCAGATTGTCTTAATGTTCCATTTTCATTCCCCGATGTTATCGGGGGATTTTCTTCTGTCTAGACAACTTTGTTAACATCCCAGTGTTGTCCCAGTCTTTCCTTATTCCCCCTGTTCATTCCTAAACTAGTTTCCTCCCTACTTTCCCCACCATTATGGAATGAATTTGCAAGATACCCTCTTGCTCGGAATCGGAAACATTTTTATGCCTCATGGATTGCTGCCCAAAACCCACCCAGAAAAGACCGTCTCTCCCCCTATGCGCCCCAAAGGGCTTTACGATCTGCCAACCAACATCTTCTGGTGGTCCCCGGCCCCAGGGACGTCTGTCTAGCCTCAACTAGGGTCAGGGCCTTTTCAGCCCTGGCCCCTACCTGGTGGAATGAGCTCCCATATGAGATCAGGGCCTTTTTGCAGTTCTGCAAGGCCTGCAAGATGAAACTCTTCCACCAGGCTTTTAGTTGTGGTGGACGCCCCCCCCCTTTCTAATGGGCCTCCCCCCAGTGGGTCAGACCTGCATTACCATCCAAGGATTAAAACCTGAAATAGATGGCACCTGTGAGGCTTTAACTATGACTTGTACCGGAGGAATGCTGTTGTATTTTATTGGTGTTTTTTCTTTATTTATATTCTGTATATTGTTTATTATGTCTGATGGAACCCGCACTGAGCCTGCTATGCAGGGAGGGCGGGATACAAATCCAATAAAATTAATAAAATAAATAAAAAGATAGGTTTGGGTGGCAAACTTCTTTTTTAATATTTGCATGCCAGCGCTGAAATGTTTTAGTGCTGGAGGATGACTGCGCTGAAACAAACAGTCAGTCCCACTGGGAGGCCTGACTCCAGCTCCTGCAGCTCTTCTTGTACAGGAAGCTGACTCTGAGTCAATCTTCAAGGCGATTTGGTGGTGGTGGTGGTGGTGGTGGGGAGAATTCTGCAACTCCAGTTCCTTCAAAACCAGCTCTTGAGATGTTTATTAGAACAATGCAGAGAGACTAAAGAAGATACACATATTATTCATAAGTCGGACGAGGGAAACAGCAATATTCTGGCTACTTTGAATGCCCTGGATCCCATCCCCTCCTCTCTCTTTACACCAGAGTAGACACACTGAAGCCAGTGGGGCTACTCTCATGTAAGAGGATCATGTTCTGTCCATGTGTTCTGGGCCAGGCTTGGATTACACTGACAGCTTCATCAGGTGGCATGGCTTAACTCCAAAGTAAGGCCCAGGGAAGGGAACTGGAGCAAGGAGGGAGCTTTCATGGAGTCCCTCCCCCAAGAAAGGGCGCAGGTGCTAGAGACCAGGGCAGGCTCATCCTGGAAGCGTGATGGTGTGTGATGGGCAGGGAATGTACTTTAACGGGGATTGCACATCCTCCTTGAGGCTGCTGAAACGCTGCAACACTTCAGCGCACGTGCAACCCCCCACCCCCGGAAATCAATCCTTTATATATAACATTTTTATTTTTACAATAAACACATCAGACAAACAAACAAAAAAGACATTAAATGGTGTTTACAAAGAATTTCCAGTTATATATATTATAATACCTCCTATGTTATAATAAATGTATAAATCGTTTTTAATCACCACATATTCAATCTATGTTTACTGCATTATATTTCAAACTAAATTCTAGAGTATCTCAAATATAATATTGTAAGACTTTACTGTTCATTTATTGTATTCTTCCAGCCATGACCATGTATTCTGAAATCTCCTTTCTTCTTGCCCTCTAAAGTAAAGTCAATTTATCTGTCTCAGCAGTTTCAAGAACTTTGTCTAACATTTCTTCTTTTGAGGGTTTTTCGTCTTTCCTCCAATAGTTTGCATATAATATTCTTGCAGTAGTCAGTACATGTATAATAAGATAAAAGTCCTGGCTTTTACATGTTTCTGGTTTTATATTCAATAAGAATAATTCAGGTGTGAAAGGTATGGTACATTCTAACATTTTTTGCAGCATTTCATGGATCCAAGACCAATATTTTTTTTAACTCTATCACATGTCCACCACATATGAAAGAATGAGCCTACAGTCTTTCTACATTT